CAGTGGCGCCCACAATTTTCCTGTGTACCCGTGCAAACCTCTCTGTGTACCTACCTTTTGGGCGCAAAATGTACCTACATAGCAGAGCCCTAATTTGCGACATTGCCCCCCCCCCGCTTTGTTACGTTTCAATTTGACGATAATAATTTTTTTACGCCTTTAAAAATTAAATCCAGGAATCTGTCCGTCATTGTAACCTTTTTCCTTTTCAAACATAAATAAGGGAGACTGTGTGAATGCTGGCGCTGACGTATGCGACAGGATATATAAGGGTTAAATGCTTTTTTCTTAAGGGATCATGATAGGGGGCCCTGATTATAGAAAACCGCGAGCGGAGCGAGCGAGATTTTTGTGTTGTATTTTATAACCAAAAGAGCGGTTTTAGAGGATTTATGCAATATTAGGAGACTCTTTTGCCCTGTTCCAGCCATTTTACTTCTGTCATTCATTTTCAGCCTTGGTGGCTCGGGCACCTCCCTATGAGCACTGTGTTTGCCACACTTGTTGACGTCGTTCGGTCTTAAACTTTGGTTTAAACGCGAGCGAAGCGAGCAAGAAATTTTTTCGACATTTCATGACAAAAAGAGCGGTTGTGAGAGGGATTCGCTACCTTTTTCTACCCTTTTTGGTGCCGTTTCCTTTTCACTCCTATAATGTCAGCCACACTCTAAACGGGAAATGACAACTGTAGATGTTTCAGGCACAATAGCGGATTCGTACCCACACTGTTAAATTTCTACAAAGCAATAATGTAGTATAGGTATAGACAAATTTCTATCTAATGGAGATGTTCACAAGGAAACATTAACGTAGATGACAAAAATGCTTCTCCCTTTTTAGAGTGCTGGGCGTCTTCTTGTGAACGCCCGATGTAACACTAAGGGCACCTATCGGCGGATGACACACTGGCGCTGCCGGAGGGTGCGCAGGCGGCCAGCGGCAAACGACAACGATGACGTCCGCCAGTGGCAAATGGCGACTGCCCCTCCTTGCACCCCCATACCCCATACTTATACTCAAAGTCTCTCCTGTTTCTGCCTCTTTTCCTTTTTTCCTCTCCTCTTTTCTCTCCTTCCTCCTCTTTCCCCTTCTCTCCTCTTTTTCCTTCTCCCCTTTCTCTCCCTCTTTCTCCCCTTTCTCTCCCTCTCATGTACCTACCTTGTATAGATTTGTACCTGTGCGCGTGCATCGCTTGGACCATAGTTTGGGCGCCACTGACCGGGATATTCACACCGTTGTCGCACCGATGTTCCGCAGTGCTTCCCTCTGATTCCCTCCCCTCCCCTCCCCTCCAGCGTCCCGGGCTCATTTTGGCGGAGACCAGTTTAGGATTTTAGTGGCCTCCAAATATTTACTGGATTTTTGAAACGTTCTTAGTTTTAGTTTTGAGTCAATTTTATGGGAATATTAAGATTTTCATTGTGTGTCGAAATATACTTTTCTAGAAAAGGCTATGTTTTAAAATACTGTCGTAATGGTTTTCGAATTTTGGTAAATTTTGCATTATTGATAGGTGTATGTGTTTTCGGAATAAGTACAGCCCCCTTCCCCTCTGCAACCCCCGTAAGCCATATATGTACCCCCTCCGCGTCGCGGGTCTGCCAGACGCCGGCTGGCTCTCGCTGCGAGCAAATGGCCACAAATCGGAAAGGACAACAAAATGTTTGTTCAAGGATTGACTCCTATGGTGATATGAATGCCTGTCTGGCCAGGTTTTCGCTGCGCTGTACGCTGCTCGACGCAGCTGTCCGGCGAGCCTGGGGGCGCGTGCTCGGGAGGGGAGGGGGGACGTTGTGCAAGTGGTTCGGTTTTTCTAATCCCTCTGGAAACAAACGAAGGGTGAACGCGGAAAGGGGTCGAGCTCGCTCGCTCTGTGTTTGCCTCAATATGTTTAACCGCCCGCACTACGTCTCGAAGAGCATTACTAGTAATGAGGGTTAGAGAAAGGGAAGGCCGAGGGGGTGGCGCACCGGCCGGCCGCTCTACCTCCTACGTAAAGCTCGCAGTTCAGTAGCTGGATCTTAACCAACCCCCTACCTAAGTTTCTTTTTCGATCAGAAGGTGGAGAGCATATATAGTTGCAGATACATAAATCTAGGTGGAGATTTTAGAAAGACGGGTATTTAATGCTTAAGGCACTGCGAGATACTGTATTTTGCCAGATTAAGAATGGCAGGCCGTGCGCAGATACACGCACACATGCAGTACACACACTCTCTCACACACACGCACGCACGCTCACTGCCTGAGCTCTGCCTGGCTTTGCAGTTCGCGATCCATTAATTACGGCAGTCAGAAGAAAGTCTGGCGGCTGCGAGGCTGTTTGTGGAGCCCATTACCCCCTTCTGCCCGGGGGAGAGAGAAAGAAGGGGGAAGGGGGGGGGGGGCACCAAGGAACCGAAATGCGAATCCGAACCGTGTTTGCTGCCGTTGTGAGCAGGCCCCTCTATGAGGAGGAGGAGGAGCGGGGGCGGCATTCTATTCCGATATACGACTTACATGGCACGGAATCGGTTCTGTCATGTCGCCCGTGACGGCGGCCGGAGGCGGCGGACGCGGATCTGGATCTGGAATGTAGATCCGGATCTGGCTGGTGGCGCTGCTCATAGAGATGCGCGGCCCATACGCGGACGTTGGAACGCTGATGCATGACAACGCGTCCTCCGGCCTGCGAGTGGCGTGCTGCTGCTGGGGGCACGCCGCGTCGGCCGGCCAGAAGGGTTGATGGGGTACAGTGACTAGCAGATTCCTCCCACCCCCCCTTTTTCCTTCCCCCGCACGCGCGTGTTCTGCCAAACGGCGGCGGCGCGGCCGACACACAGCAGCAGCAGCCCTATCGACAGGCGTCCGCGCCAAAGACGTCACGTGACTCGGCGCGATTGAGTATGTAAGGGCGGCGGCGACGTCAGGG